GGGGGGGAGTGTTTCTTGTTGTTACTCTGAGCGGGGAAGGAGACACTTTTCCTAGCCAGCTAGGAGCCCAGGGCTTCGCGTAGGCAGGACCTCTGATCCTTCCTCTCGTCCCTTCACTGAGTACCCCCTTCAGCGGGCCTTCACCGCTGGCTGCTGGTGGGACACAGTTGACACTGGCATGGGCCCAGCCCAGCGGGAGCTTATGGTCCCAGGGGACAGACAGCATGGGAGAGAAGTCAGTGTGTTCTGCCTGGGGCGTCAGCCGTCTCTCTGACTCTCCCATGCTTCTCTGCACAGGGGACCGGCCTGAGTGTCAGCCATATTGCGGCAGGGAAAATTGTGTCCATGTTTGAAGGGAAAGCGAACAGGGTCAGCAGGTGGAGGTGGGGACATGGAGGAGCAGGCAGTGGGGGCCTCAGCCCTGGGAGTTCCTGACGTCATTCCTTCTCCTTCTCCAGGTCATCGAGGCCAAGGACATCCATGCCAAGTGTGGCCTAGGCTACGTGCACAACAGCCACTGCCTGCCTAGTGGGGAGGTGATGGTCAGCACCCTGGGGGACCCCAAGGGCAATGGCAAAGGTACCTGCTGGCAACATAGACACACCTGAGGAGTCGGGGAGCAGGTCTCAAGCAGCAGGAGAGATAGAATGATCTCCCAGGGGAAAGCTGGGGTTGGTTCTCACCCACTATTTAATCTAGTCAAGTGACGTCAGCTGTCTCTGATATTGTGAAGATGAGCCTTCGCTGATGAACTCACTTAAGTTCATAGAAAGAACAACTGTGGGCAATGTGAGCACAGAAAGGGCCGAAGGAAACACATACATTTAATATCAGCCTTTGTGAACTCATGGGCAGATCTCACAGTCCGTGGGGCCCTTACTCTCCACATTAGCTATCTCTTTTGTGGTATGACCAGAGCTGACACTTGTTAGATGTCTACTATGTGGCAGACACAGCCTAGGAGATGGGTACTACTCTAATCCCTGTTTTACAGATTAGAAAGCGGGGCGCAGTTTGGTTAAGTAAATTACCCAAAGCCATACAGCTAATGAGTCACAGAGCTGGGACTGAAACCCAGTGGTCTGGTCCCAGAATCCATGTCCTACCACCACAGTGTGTTTGTTCTCTCTAAGCGTTACCTATCTCATCAGAACCTGCCGTCCAGTTCTTGTGTGAGATATCAGATAAAGCCATCCATTTAACATTACTGCCCTAGACTCTATTTAAATGCTTTCTCCAGGAGACGGGAGGAGTGTGGATTCCTAGATTTTATAACACGTAGGCGTAGACATCGACTCGTATTGGCAAAGAAGTGTCAGGTGTCATACTTAGCCTGGGAAAAACATAATGGGCATTCAAGTTGAGTTATGAATAACTATAATCTGCTCTAGAAATAAACAACATGCAGTGAGCAGACTGGAGCTTAGGCTCTGGCAGGAATCCCACACCGAAAGTGGGAGAAGCACAGGGTGCTGGGTCCCAGAAGACCTCTGGGCTCAACGGGAGAAAGTTTCCCCTGAGTTTGGGGAGGGGGCGGAAGCTGATGGGAGCTGGGGGCACCAGAATAAGTCCCACTTTCCACCCCACGCTCTGGATGGGGCCCTTTGGACACTTGCATTTAAGGGGCTGACAAACCCCGTGGTCGGAGGGGCCCCACACAACGGACTTGGAGTCTCTTGGACGTGGACGGGGTTGAGACACCCTACTGCCCCCCTATTCCTTCCCTTCTCAGGGGGTTTCGTGCTGCTGGACGCAGAGATATTTGAGGTGAAGGGCACGTGGGAGAAACCTGGGGCAGCTGCGCCTTTGGGCTATGACTTCTGGTACCAGCCTCGACACAATGTCATGATTAGCACTGCATGGGCAGNGGCAGCTGGCAGCCGCTCAGCTCAAGGTGCCGTGTTCAATCTTAGTTGCTGGTGGGCATAGCCCACCATCCCATGCGAGAGTCGAAGCGGAAAACTTGTTGCTAAGAGCGCATGCTGTAACCACTGAGTCACCCGGCCACCCATCGGCAGCTCAGCGGCTACTCAACTAAGGTGCTGTGTTCAATCCAAGTTGTGGGTGAGCACAGCACTCCATCCCATGCGGGAGTCGAACCGGCCATCTTGTTGTTAGGAGCACGTGCTCTCACCTGCTGAGCCATCCTGCCACCTGTTGGCAGCTCAGTGGCAGCTCAGCTCAGGCGCAGTTCACTGGCCCATGTGGGAATCGAACCAGCGACCCTGTTGCTCAGAGCTCATGCTCTTAACCAACTCAGCCACTTGGCCGGCCCCTTTTTTTTCTTTTTTAAATACAGAAGCATACAAGTAGAAATGGAGAATGAATCCCTTCTTCTGGTGCCTCTGCAGAGGTAATCACGGTTGGCACTTGGTGAAGACTTCTAGTCTTTTCTACCGCCCCGGGGTCTCCACCACTCCTCCTATCTCCCCCATAAAGGCTTCACTGCTGGGTCTGCTTCTCCCCATTTCATAGGAAGTCTGTCCTGAGACTGCCAGAAACAAGGTCACACCCTCCTTCTGGTTTGGGGCTACACCACCCCTTGACCCCACAAAACAAACAAAGCAAAACAAACAGGAATGATCATAGGGTGACCTGGAAAACTGTGAGCTCTGCAGTCAGATGACTTGGGGACTAATCCTGAGGTTAGGGTGCCATGAAGACACCACAGAGACCAGCCAGGCCCCAGCACAGGGCATGAAAGAACGTGCCCTCAATGAGACTCTAGAACCAACCAGATAACCACTTTGTTGGAGTTAAACACAAGAGCTCCTGATAAGAGGGTGGGGATGAGGCTGCTTCCTTTTTCAGACCTTGGATGTTGGATGCAAGCCAAAAAGCAGGAGCGTGGAGGGCAGCTAAACGATGGAGGCCTCAGGAGAAGGGGACCAGAAAGGCAGGGTGAAGGCAGAGGAGGCCGGGGCAGCCAGGAGACAGGAAGCTGACAAAGGGGAAGAAGCAGCCCTCTGGGGCCACCCATGGGGGGCAGCTGCACCCCCCAGCCCATGCCAGGCGACACTGCAATGGGCAGGATGCAGATACAGGAAAGAGCCAAGGGCGGTGAGTGACTTCGGGACAAGGGAGGACCCGTGCCCTGGGCAGCCACAGAGCTTCTTCCTTTAGGGCACATGACCCTCACCCATGGGACCCAGGAGGACACACACCCTTCACACGAGG